TATTCTATTCTATTCTATTCTATTCTATTCTATTCTATTCTATTCTACTCTACTCTACTCTACTCTACTCTATTCTATTCTATTCTATTCTATTCTATTCTATCCATTCCATTCCATTCCATTCCTATTCTACTCTAATTTGTCTTCTTAAAAACCCCAGTTCATTTAATGACTGTTCAAAATTACAACAGCACTGGAAAAAAGTGACTTATGACTGTTGTTTCATGCTTACAACCATTGCAGAAGCACCATGGTTAGGTGATTTAAATCCAGACACCCAATAACTGGTTCATATTTTATGACAGTTGCAATGTCCCAGCGTTATACGGTCATTCTTGGCCCCCTTCTGGTGAGCAAAGTCATGGGGGGCGGAATCCAGATTTGCTTAACACCCGTTTTACTCATTTAACGACTGCCGCGGTTCGCTTCACAACTGTAGCGAGGAAAGTCGTAAAATGAGACAAAACTCACTTAACTAAATGTCTCACTCGGCAACATCAATTCTGGGCTCAGGTGTGGTTTGTCTTATGGGGAAGACAAATAGTTAGCTAATGGAATATCTCCTTAGAACACTGATTTTTGAAACTCAGCAAGTTTAAGATGAGTGGACCTGTTCGGACTGGTTCTATAGAACCGGTTGTTACGATTCTGCACAGTTCAGAGAACCAGCAAATCACGCCACTGGCTGGACCCACCCTGCCCCGCCTGCGTTGGGTAAGTTGTTATTTTAACTTTTTTCCCCCCTGGCCATCAGCTGTTCTGCTGTGCTGGGAGATTTAGATTAGCTAGAAAGCAGGAAGTCATTGGATTTCTTGCTTTCTAGCTAATCTAAAAGCAGAGCTGAAGCTTCCTTAGGACTGAAGCTTTTATTTTTCAGTGCAGAGTCAGGTAGCAGATTGCAGAAACACAGATCTCTAAGTGAATCTGTGATTCTGTGAGCAACTCAATCTGCCTGGCTGCTTTGCCTGATTTTGGGTAAAAGTTGCTCTCTTTTTCTTTTATAAAAAATTCAATATTTACATAAATATTTATAATATTCACATACAAACCACACCCAGCCAGTCACATGACCACCAAGCCATGCCCACAAATTAGGCCACACCCACAGAACCGGTTGTTAAGAAATTTGAATCCGACCCCTGAGTGGACTTCTACTCCCAGAATTCCTCACCCACAGAGCACTTAAAACACTTAATTGTAGTTAGCAGCACAAATGACCTGGACTATCCAACATTTTTAAATATTTTTTTTTTTTAGAAAACAAGACAGAGGTTCTGGAGTTTCTCATTTTTATGCACTTTCTTATTTTGCCCTAAGATGGTTTTGAAGTTTAAATCGTTAAGCTTAGTAGTTGCAAGTTATGTGTTCATATTTGGAAGGGGAAAATGATGGGACATTTCCATCTAGTTTTCTTAATAATAACTGGGTGTTTTGTCAGGATTCCTTCCTGCCCTCTGTTTATTCATCTGCCCTTTGCACCCTGTTCGGGTACATAACAATAGCAACCCCACAAAAGCCATCATAAAAAAAATAAACATCGCACTATATCCAGAACTAAATTCCAAATGAAGAGAGAAAAAACAGAATGCTTAATATCTAAAACAAGAGTTCACGGAGACCAGCAGCCACAAAATGATATTAAAAAGTAGGCACTAAAAAACTTAATAATACAAAGACATTTCTGATGCCAACACTTGGCAAAGCTTTCATCATTCCTGACTAAATTCCTCCAGAAAGGTTAATGTTATAATGTATTAACTTTCCGGCACTCCAGCTTAAGGCTGATGTAACATTTTAAAATAGCTGTACCAGTTCTAAGAGTCTCGACTAAATCAAAACAACGCGCACACACACACACACACACACACACACACACACACGTAAGTGTGGGTGTATGTGGGTATGTATCAGGGTTGGGATTCAAATTTTGCTACTACCAGTTCTGTGGGCGTGGCTTGGTGGGCATGGCAGGGGAAGGATAATGCAAAATCTCCCGCCAGAGGCGGTATTTGCCGGTTCTCCAAACTACTCAAAATTTCCGCTACTGGTACTCCAGAACTGGTCAGAACCTGCTGCGTGCCACCTCTGGTATGTATCTATGTGCGTGTATGTCTGTCCAATCAGACTTAGTCTGGACACCATCTCTGCTAAATGTCCAACTTTTTCCAAACTAATTTGAAAGAATTTTAACCAACCAACCGAGCTCAGCCTTCATGAGCCGATCTTACAAAATAAATAGAAAATCGATATTTTTCTAACCAGGAAGAAGGTGGAATTGGGTATGTATTCCACTCCAA